CACCTACACTCAAAGACAACAAACCAACCAAGAACAAGAGGGAAGCCAAAGGAATAAAAATTGAAAAAGCTCAATTAAAAAGCTAAACTCAAAGAGAGATTAATGAGACAAACATAAGAATTTCAAGGAAGACAAGCAAAAATTAAGACACATTAAAAAGGCTAGCACTCAAAAGAGAAAATCCTAGAATGGCACTAGAATGGAATAAGTCTTTAAAGGTTTTGCAATTGTAAACTTAAGTCCTTTTTGGTAAAGGTCCAGCCACGGTTTTGTGTCTCAAAGAGGGTCCAATAAGGTCCAAAAATTCAGTCCAAGTCCAACTCCAATGTGCAAGGGTAATTAGGTCAAATGTCCACAAGTCTAGCAACAAATCCTTTTGTTTTCTTTCATTTTCTTTTGGCCTTTTTGGTCATGTTTTTTTTTTCAATATTTTTGTCCAGATTGTGTTTCTAACTTTCTTTTAAATTTTGCTTGGTTTTTACACTTGTGGGTGATTAAAAATGCAGCACATAAAGGAGTCAAATTTAAAGAGACAAGTGGCAACACATGAGTGGGTGATGAGGCATATTGTGAGTGGAGTGTGTCTTGTACTAATTCTTTCTTTTTGTGCAGATTTTTTTGTCAAAGATTCCAGCACTCACACACAAAATTTAACCACTCACACATGTGCACAAAGGACAAAGGAATAATCATGTAATGATGTGCATGGAAAGGTGGCCAATCATGTATGTGTAGGAGGCAAATAACACATAGATTTCAATACAAATTTGGAGCATGCCAAGGACTAATCAACATGCATGAATGACTTCTAAATGGTGCAGTAAATTTTCAGCCACCTCATGGAAAAGCACATACATCAAATATTTTCATTTTTCTCATACATCAAATGGGTGCATCATACATATAGATTTTTGTCTTTTTGAGATGGGTGAGATAAACACAACTTTTGACAAAAATTTAAAGGTAAAAAGATCAAAAAGAGATGGAAGACATGTTCTTGATGTTCATAATATATTTTTCCAGCAACAAGAGTAAATACAAAAATGGCACACAAGAACCTAAAACTCAAGAAAAATCCTAAAGCATAAAAGGAGGCTCATGAATAAGCAATGAACCATGGAGCAACATAAGAAGACATTTTTAACAAGGTTTTCATGGATGACAATGAACTCAAAGATGACGCAAATCAAGACTCAAAAAAAGAAAAGACTCAAAGAAATGGAAAGGAAGCTAGTTACCCTTGAAGATAACCTAAGCTCTTGATACCAAATGATGGACTCCTTCCACCAAGGGGATGATCAAACGTTCAATGGTGAAGAGGAGCTCCTTTCCAAGGCCAAGATGGTGACCTTAGAGGGTGGACGTTCCTTCAAGGGTGAGGCTAAGTGATGGTGGGCGTGAAAGGTGGAGTCTTGGGCGAATAGGAGAAAGGTTGGGAGGATGGTGTTTTGGGTGTTCTAGTTGGCTCTCTTCACTAAGTGGAGGTGAAGGCCATTCAAGGTATCCCTAAACTCACTCTAAGGAGGAGATAAGAGAGGTAGGCCGAATTGACCTAGTGACTAAGGAGAGGATTTGAGGCAAAAATGCTCACTCAAATTCATATATTCCAAAGTATTTACATGGTGCATAGCCTAGGGTATTTATAGGAGTGGGAGGCATCTAGGGTTGCATTTGGAGAGTGCATGGACGAAATTCACAAGCCAAATGCACACCAAATGAAATGCAAATGAACCCT